AAAAGAAAAACAAAAAAGAAAAAGAAATAAAGAAAGACCGGCCAGCCATACGGCCTGCGCGCCTCTTCTGTGTAACATGTTGGTGGTGGTGGTGATTATTGACTAACGATTCCCTCCCTTGACTTGAACTCTGAACCGGACGGGGATCGTCATGCGGCCGAGAGCCCCCTGCTCATTTGGCTCTATGAATATTGATAAGTTCTTCTCAGCGCGGGACTGGTGGACCTCTCGCGGCTCCTGGACTCTAATCTTTTCCACGATCCCCCCAAGCTCTCATTTGATCCACACGATGCCGTTTTTCCTCGGAACGCTGAAGCAGATACATTTCAAGATGTCCCCCGCGCGCCCACGTTCCATATACATTCAAACAACACCAAATCTGGCTCCCTACCTCCTCCTTCTCTTCCTTCTCCTCCTCCTTCTCCTCCTCCTCCCCCTCCTCCTCCCCCTCCTCCTCCCCATGTCTCCTCCTTTTCTGTAGCTACGAGCTAGAAGCAGCTCTATGCGGGGGAGACCAGGATTCTTGATATGAAAATCAAATTGTGTTGAAATGAGCGATTCTGCGAGATCAAAGCTCGGAAATAGAACTCGAAAGAGGCTCGTTTTAGACGTGAAAGCATCCGCTTTTATCTTTGCTCTCCAGACGTCACAGGTCTTTTTTGTTCTATTGTTGGTAGTGATAGGAACGTCTGAACTCAATAAGGATGTAGCGGACAGATTTGTCTGACCAGCAACCCAAAAAACAATGTTGTTACACTCTTCGAACCATTACGCAAACCAGAAAAGCGAATAATTTGTCGTCATGCGTACTGACAAAAAAGAAGAATTTTTGGATTTTAGTCCCATGGACATATATGCGTCAAATTTATAGTAGGTTGAGTTTGTAAAATTTATTACGGTGGTGTGAACTGATAAAAAGATATGTTAAACATAAAAAAAGACATCAGTTGAAAATCGTTCAAATCTGATCCTTGTTTCGATTTTCGGCCGAGATCTCCATTCATGGCTTGCGAGAAGTAACTCATTTTGTCCGCACGTCTAACATTTGCTGTTGTTTGACAAAATGAAATAACCTCGGATTTTATCCCCATGGTTGAACAGATACCAAATTTATAGGTTTGGTATTTATAAATGTTTATATGAAATGATAAAAGACGCCTTCAGCAGAAAATCACATCAGTTTAAAACCTACAAATTTGATGTGTCTACTTTCGGCCGACGTATCCAATCTATGGAGTGCGAGAAGTACATTGTAACTAGTTTTATCAGAATGCCTCCGATTTCATAGTATGTGTGCTGTTGTTTGCGAAATTGAGAAATTTGTAAGTTATTTATTTGTTTTTGGATTCTTTTAATATTGCTCAAGAAAACAAAACATTAGAATGGTTCTTTTTGGAGTGCTGCGAAACGGTGCGTGTTCAAGCCTTGTCGAATAACCAGAATGCTCCAACTTAATGAGTAAACTTACGATGCCGATACAGATGATGATGACTTTGTTTCTGTTTGGATTCTGAGTTGGTGGTCTAGTGATTAGGCTCTAAGACTCGCAACCGTAAGGTCGTGAGTTCGAATCCTCCACCTTCTGTTTAGGGCTCTCGTGACCTAGACGTTAAGGTGTTGGCCTCTCATTCAAAGGTCCCGGGTTCGAATCCGGGTGACGACAGAAAAGATTTATTCTCTAAAATTGTATCCTTTTACCTCCTTTCCTGCTCTCGAGCAATGTTCTGTCGTCTGATTTCGTCTCCTCTTTCTGCCCCCACCCCTCACTTCCTTTACCCCCTCCTCTGGGCTCCAGACTCTCTTTGCTGCCTTTCTACTGCTACTCCTTGGCCCCTTCTTATTGCTGTCTTTCAACCACACCCCTGATCTTCTGGTAGGAAAGATCTATACCTAGCCTTCTCGGACAAGGGCGGAAAATCTCGGAGGGCCCGAGAGCAAGTTGCACACGTTAAAGATCCCTTGGTGGTCTAAAATCGATAAGAGTAGGCTTTGGCTGTCACCTAGGCAAAATTCAAAATTTCCTACAAACTAAAAAAGTTTAATGTGTCCCGTGCGCTCATATGACCGTATGCATTTGCGAGCGCCGAAAAACACTTACAAAAAACAACAACAACAACAAAGCTCCTGCTTCTTGTTCCGCTTAGACATGACACCGTCTGAACTACTGGTGTGCTAGGTATAACTTTGATAACAACAGTAACAGTAGTCACATCTTGAGAAAGGCACTTCACACGAATTTTCCTCTCTTCACTCAGGTGAGAATGGGTACTCAGCTATAGAAAGTGAAAGACCTTGTCAGTTTGTTAGTGTTTGAGTGCTTCATCAATTACTTGCACCGTATGCTTTACGGGAAGCTGATAATGTTTCTGAGTATTCTATGGTCTGCTGGGGGTAATAATATAGTGCAAAGCACCAGGAGCTTGCTGTCGAGCGGGGATGTGCGCAATGCTCTTTGTTATCATTTATTATTATTGTGTGATTAGGAGGGAACCACAGTATGATGGCAGCATCTTTTCGAGTTGGGATGAGTAATAGAAAGATGATTACAGACAAACAAAATAGCGGCAGGATTGTCAACATGCCTCCCTCAACCCCAACACACACACACACACACACA